ATAGCTATCTTCTTCTTGTCCTCATCGCTCCACTGATGTGGAAGCTTTGGAATCTGTCGTTCAGGAATCGCGACAGTCGTAGCTGTTGCTGGAACAGCCGAAGCAATAGCAAATGGAATATATGGTCCATTTTCTATGTAATGTGGAATTTCAAGATCCACACCTTCTAGAAAGAGAGACATCCGGTTCTTTCAGAGACTAAAGTTGTCACGGACAAACTGGGGAGGTTTGGCAAGAGAGCCATTATTTTGTGTGTGTGTTTGCAATTTGTAAAGCCATTTGTAAGTAGTAAAGTTATCTAAGAAGAGATAAACTAGTACAGAAAAATAGCCAAACACAAGGAAACAGAGAAAACACCGCTCTGATACCACTTGTTGGTCCCGTAAGGGTTTACAAGAAGAGAAACAGTTTGTAGAAGGGGGGATGAATACAAACACAGTATTTTCAAATTTAAAATATATATTGATAGAGGAGATCAATACAGATTTTACAAGATTGTTTGCCGAAAGATAAGGTAATAAAAACCTATCTAAACAATCTTTGGTTACACACAAAGCTTTAGCAATTACAAGAAAAGAAGTTGCTAAGAGAAAGATCTTTTACTTAAGCTAGAAGATGCTTGAAGTAAGAATTAGGTTAGAGAGAGAGATGCGCGCTCTCTGCATGGAGAAGAAATATTTCTATTTATACCTCGTGCATTAAATGTCCATTTAATGAAATATGGTAGGTTTAGAGTGCGTGTCAAGCCTTAAGAGGAAGGTTTGTCATTTGCTATAGTGAATAGTACAAAAGCACTATTCATTGTACTATTCATGAGCAGACATCCTTACCTAAAGTTGGTGGACAAAGAGTCGACTAGTCGGCTCCGTACCGTACTAACTTTTGTAAGGGTATGGGTTTTGTTCTTTGTGTGCATAAGGACAAGACAACAACAATAGTGCTAAGCAAGCTTCATTTGATCGTTGAATGCTGGAATGACCTGAAGGTCTCATCATCATTCGCTGAAGTTTGACCAATCTTCACACATGTGTAGACAGACTTGTAATCACTGAATATCGCTTCAGATCACGTACTCACCGGTCTCTAATCTTCAGCTTCAGTCTTCGACGTTTGCTGAAGGTTCTTTGGTGTGAGTGTTGTCTTCTTGAAGTATTGCTGTCTCTAATAGATTTACAATGAAAGTTCTTCAGCGATTACTGAACATACTCAGTGAAGATCGCTGGAACTGAAAATACATAAACACAAATACAACGTGAAAGAGAAAAGGGATTATCATCAAATCACCAAGAGAGATGATCAACAAATCTCTTGAGACACGTCAATGCAGCTGCACGATTACAATGGTATGTTGTATTTTCCGATGCCAGTGATATTGCTCGATCGTAGAAACTCAGTGCTTCTTAAAATGTCCTTTTTGTACTCTTTGTTCCCCAATCTCTTCAAATCCTTTGGACATGTTGATGATCTTCTCGAAACAGATGGATTTAAATTGCCTAAAATAGGGTTTTCTTCTCTGCCGCCGACCACGATGGACTTTATGGCGGAACCTCCCCCCATTATATTGTTGTCACCGTAATTATCAGTGCCTAAACTTAACACATCGGATTTGAGGTCCAACTTGCCATCATACCCGCCTTGAGATCCTTTCCCGACAGGCAAATATTGTCGATCGGAAGTACATTCACAGTCGGAGAAGTAGCAGAACTCCCACCGGTGAAGATTGATGGGTGCCAACCATTTCCACCTCTGGATTCAGACCTGGCTTGACCCGATTTAACTCCCTGATAGCCACCAACAGAAAATGTTGCCGAACTGTCAACCGACAACTCAACGAAGTGATTATTGGGTATTACAATAGGTATTCATCAACCAGATCCGGTATCATAGTGGTATCACAGTATTATTTCATCAGCCATATCTGGTATCATAGGGGTGTCATATTGTGTATTATAATGTGTTTTTATTGTTTTACGAAGTGTATCACAATTATTTTTGTTGTTTTATGAAGTGTAACACAATCTATCAGGTAGTGTTTCTTTACTAAGTGTATGACACCGTATTTTTCTTTATTTTATGAAGGGTATCACAGTGTCCATTTGTTTGCTAGAATATGGTTCGCCGTCGGAAGAGAGAAGAGGAGAGATGAGAGAGGAGATATAAGATTTTTAAAATACCTAAAATTCCCTTTAATTAAAAATTTAAGTCAAATTACCAAAATTATTAGTTTTCTAATTTATCCATTGATTTGTGCTTGAGATTGAATCTCACAGTTATCACAAATTAACTAGTTCTCGCTTAAATGACCCCCTATATACATATACATATACATATACATATACATATACATATACATATACATATACATATACATATACATATACATATACATATACATATACATATACACACATAGAGGTCTAATCAAATGAAAACTGTTTTGTTTGTTGTAACCGTGAGATCCAATCTCAATCACAAATCAAAGATTAAATTAGAAAATTAATAATTTTGGTAATTTTAACTTAAAGTATTAATTAAGAGCATTTTAGGAATTTTATAAATATCCTCTCTCATCTCTCCGATAAATCTTATTCGGCGAACTTTATTCCGATGAACCTTATGTGAACACAATATACACATTATGATACCTACAAACGATATTCACTGTGATACCCAGATATACATACAAAACAAAGAAAATACATTGTGATACATGTGAAACATTATGAACATTATTACTATGATACACTTTGATTCACAAACGTTTTTAAAATACAATATATATATATATATATATATATATATTAAGTAACTAATTTTAATTAAATATTTTTTTTCTAAAAAATTTAATTAAATATTTTGATTAGTTATCAAAAATAAAATTATTATATTATCATTTTAGCTTATTTAAAAAATATTCTTAAATATCTCAAATGAACGATTTATATTAAATCTCAGAGTTACTGCAAATTAATCCATGTGTTTTGAATGGACCCCTACATACAATATATATGTATACATATGTGTGTGTTTTTTGGGGATTTGATTTGATATATATAATCCCTGACAAAAACGTTGTCACGCCGATATCTGCAGTTTTGGATCTTTGTCTCCTTCCTCGATTGGATTCCATACGTGCTTCGAAGTTGCTGCAATCTATGCTTCAAACCTCCCTTCCAAGTTGCTTTAATTTCCATGCTTTGGGAAATGAGTTCAGATCACCACTCCATTTCCCTTTTTCTTCCATTTTATATATATATATATATATATATATATATATATATATTTATCTTCAACCCTAAAAATGTGTAGTATTCATCTTTGCATGGACCTTCAGTTTTGGCTTCTTCTGTTCCCTTCATCATGTCTTAATTTCTGTATTTCTCTTGCATGATCAATGATATGATTATTCCTTTTGTTATACATGAATGATGCCTCCGATCCCCTTAAAATGAGATTGAAAATTTGCATATGCATGCTTAGATAGTCGATATGTAATATTAGGATATGCTCAATATTCAATGCATCCAATTAAACTAAAGATTTTACATAACGAGAAAAGCACAAACCATGTCTTGTGTTCGATCTAAACATCTAGAACAAATGCACGCAATTCGCATAGTGGTGGGAATTCTCTTTCAAGGCGGCCCRCACGACTCATCCTAAGTGAGGGCTTAGCCAACGATGCCGAAAACAACCTCAACCACGAGTCGACACAAGTTCGATTTTTCTGTTTTTGTAAAAATGTTGTCAATTAGTTTCATCAACGTTTGAAGTTGATTTTTAAGGGCCGTACGACGAGCCTGAGTTTGAGCTTGGAACGTGCAGACAAGAGTGATCCATGCGGAAGAGGCGTGAGCAACAAGGGCTAGATTGCGCTCGCTCGGTTGGAGACCCTATTGCATCAAGAACTTTTGATGGCATTCCATAAGAGATAACAACATACATATATTTTAAGTACAAAAGGACATTAATCCTAATCGATCAACATTATGAACCTAACCTAAATCATTAATAATTTATATTTAAACCTAAACAATTAACAATTTGGACTATAGTTTTACACAGATCGATGAAAATGCTCTAAACATATGTAAAATTATGTCCTAAACGTATGTAAAATTAGGCCATGTTCAAAACCTCACATTTAATATGCTATGAGACGACCCTGGCTCTGATACCATGTATAAAGAGCACGCTTCTTCTGTTGTATATTTCATTAGATATGAAGACGGATATAAATAGTTACAGGGATGATATCATTGTAAATAAGAGATGTACACAATCCTACATATTGGATCATGATCCTAGAGATTCGAATGACCAAATATACTTAGGATAATGATACACATACATCTTATTTACTAGATAACAATTTCCAATAAGTTACTGTGGATAACTTTCTTGGTATGTGAGCTTCACCTGGATTTTTACTTTTCCAACATCGTTATGGTGTGACAACATTACGATTACCTATCTCGCTTTGAATCATGTGTTTGATCTGTACACAAACCACATCCAAGACATGGTTATGTCTCAAACTTTATATGTCTGCTATGTGTCATTGCTCAACTTGCTGATATATATACATATATATATATACACACAAATGGCTTGACCATAGTTCGGTTTGAACGTATACGATCCAAGCTTCATATTGCAACATACGTATATTTCGCTTGCAAGGGATGTTAGATGTATAAGATGTGGAGTCGTGCCGTGTGGGTACTAGCTAGTTGAAACGGTCGAGACTTGAGATTTAGTTGAGGCAGTTTGAAGCTGTGGTTGTTACTATATATGTATTTCAGAGTTGCCATTACGTAGTAAGGCGTTGTGGGATTACTCAAGATGTGCACAAATTGGTGCGGACATCTACGGTTACCACCAAATATTAGCATACTTGCCATGGAATAATAACAAAAAGGCAAGACCACCCTGTGGTTGAATACTTGTCCCAACAAATTTAGTTGATGAAAAAGAAGTACAAACCTCTATTAATCCAAGCCACGATAAAAGAACACTAAATAAACACGAAAACACTTTAATTAGTACAAAAATCTATTCTTTCCCCCGGTAATTTTGTTTTTAAGATATTAAAATTAGAACTCTCTTCTAAGTAAACCACATAACCATATGTTTAATACTACATAAGGGGACTATTTAGAAGTCCATGCCAAGCAGTTGAACCAAGCCCATTCCATCCAGCTATCTGTGATCTCCCTGACTCAACCTCATGAACCATATTCATTCCTTGATCTCCACCACCAGCACCCATCATCCATGGAAATCCCCATAATACCCCTCCTGATGATCCTCTATTCTCCCCTAACTCAGATCTCCCATGGCATGTACTTTCTTGTTTCATTGCAGCCATCATCAGTGCAGTTGTTGCTGCACCACTAGCACCATTGTTGTTAACAAGATGTTCTTGATTATGGTGATCATGGAACATTGGGTTCATGATTTCCTGATCAAGATCATGATCATGATCACTACTAGCATTAGTCAAGCCCATCAAGATTCCACCATTTTCAACACTACCCATGTCTCCATTTCCAGCATTACCCCCATTATATATCATATTGTGGTACCCATTAGGAAGATTGCCAAGAAACCCACCTCTGATTGCATCAAGAAAGCCCAGATGGTCAGCTTGATGGGTAGGGGTATGACTGGAATTGGGGTTTTGATCAAAGTGATCAAAACCCAAGTGACCATTTGCTTGACTTTGGAGCCTAGCAAAGGCTAGAGAGAGATCAGTGCAGTTGGAGTCATAAGGCAAGTGAGGTAGACCTGAGAGCAGAGTGTTATTGGAATTTGATGTGATGATATTATGATGTTGTTGATTGAGGAGGTGATCATGGGTCCCTCTGATCTTTGAAGATGATGTTGAGTTAGAAGAAGTAGCAGAAGATGATGAGGATGAAGATCTCTTGTTCTTCCTGCACCCTCCACCCACTGGAACATTTCTCAGGGTCCCACCTTTTGTCCAGTACCTTCTACAAGACTTGCAAAAGTATCTAGGCTGAGTAAGACTGTAGTTGTTGTAGTAGCAGAATTTGGTGTTAGTGGAGTCACATCTTGGACATTTTAAAGCTTGCTCTGCTGGCCTTGGTTTCTTCTCTTGTTGTGCTTTTGTGCATACCAACATGCTCTCTAGTGTTTGCGAAGACAATTCCTACAAAACATAAAGGAAAAACATAGAATTAATACACATTTTTATAATAATTTGAACTCTCTTTAAATAGAAAAAAACAGTAAAGTTTGATGTTAACATTGATCGACATAAATAACTGATGTTCTCCATCTTGATTACCAAAAAAAAGTAAGGTTTCAAAGAAGGATTAGAAAATTTGACAAGCCATCCAAGATCAACCAAATCATCCATGAGATGTGTGTTCAAATTGGGTGATTCATATGTAGATGAGAGTGATGAGTGCTGTATCACTTTCTTGATATGTGTAAATGAAAAAACAATTTCCTAAAAGAGATGGAAGCCAATACATAATTGCATTGGAGATAGTGTCCACTAGATCCTTTTTTCCCTTTTCTGACAAAATAAAACAAGAATGTACACTTCAAAAATAAGATGGTACAATTTTTGGAGAGTAATTTAATGGGGTTTTGTGGATTCCCATGATTGCATTGCTCAAATTAAGATTTTGATCAATTGAACGGGGTTTTGGGAGTGTTAGAAAACAATCAAGCAATGAAATGGCGGTGTAAGTGTCGATAGCATCGATAAAATCAATCTTCAAAACAAAACCCAGATCAAATAGAAAAAACATAACCAGCTTCAGAAACCCTAATTTTTATGTTTCCCCAATCCAATACAATCATACTCCAATGACTCAAAACCTTACTGGGTTTTCCCAACTTTCATCAGAAAATACAGAAACTTAACACTGGAGAAAGAAGAATCCATCAGTAATAAACATTTTACCTGCTGGTGGTGGTGATGATGATGATGATGTACTACACCTGAAGCATCCATTTCCACTTCCATGCAACAATAGTTTCACTCTGTGTTTCGTATGTTTGAGAGATGATCGATCAGAGTTATTATTCAAGATTTGAATATTCTAGAAAGAGAAACCAAAGTAGTCATGCAAGGTTACAGCAGCCACCCACGTATATATATACACACACTACACATACATACACTGTTTACATATCTATAGATATATAATATATAGAGATAGATATATAGAGAGAGAAGAACAGTATAATGATGAGAATGGTGTACGGGGAATAGATCGACGTGTGTATGTGTGTGTGTGAGAGAGAGAGAGAGAGAGAGAAGTAGTCTTGCACGCAGAGAAAGCAAGATTTTAGAGAGAGAAGATGTGTAAAAATGGGGGTTTGTGAGGAGGATAGTGGGATGGTGGGACCATATGGCGTAGGATTTGCAACTATACAACCATGGGGCCCACTTGTTTTTATCGGTATACGCCAACCCTTGACACGTCATCTATGTTGTCGTCTAGTACAATTTCGCTTCTGTATACCCATCCAAATCCAAGGGGACAACATAGACAAAACTCAACGACTAAATCCCAACCCAACTAATTTAGCATTATATTTTGTACGAATCAATTATAATTGGTATGAAAAATAATTTATGATCCTGAGATTATTATTTGAATATAATAAATAAATAATTATTAGATTTTTTTGTATTTTCATTTGAATATGAAAAAATAAATAATGAAAATCAGAGACGTTCCAATTTTTTTGTAGGTCCTGCTAAATTCAAAATATTTGATTACATTGCATAACTGAGATAACATAGAATATATGTTAAAAACAAAAATGAGCTATGTAAGATCCCACATTGGTTGGGGAGGAAAACAAAGGTTGCCTTATAAAAGACTTGATACCTCCTCTATAAGGTGTGTTTTAAAACCGTAAGTTTAGGTGTGAGATAAAGCGGACAACATTTAGTACGGTTGACCTAAGATGTTACAGATAATATCAAAGGCAAAATGGTGTACCAAGGAAGACTCTGGGCTCCTAAAGGGGTGGATTGTAAGATCCCACATTGGTTGCGGAGGGGGAAAAAAGTTGTCTTATAAGGGACTTGATACCTTTTCTATCAGATGCATTTTAATACCGAAAGTCTAGGTGTGCGAAGAAAGCGGACAATATCTGGTACGGTTGGCATGAGATGTTACAGGCTAAACCTAAAGAATTTACAATTTGAAACTGAACCTACACGATTGATTATTTGAACCTAAAACCAAACAATTTTGGCTATAGTTTACACTCTAAGCACAAGTAAATTTGGGCCCCAAAATTTCATACGCCATGTTCAAAATCTCACATTTAACATGCCAATGGACGACCCTAATGAAAATGGTTTTAATCATTTTTCATTAGATTATTCTTTACTTTGTTACTAATCTAAATACATTGATTGAGAAAAGATATATCTTTTTTCGTTTATAAATATAAGGATTTATTCATTTAAAAAATGTTCAGGGGTCTAATTGCTCAAAATATAAAAGCTCGTTGGATTTTCTCGATTTTATTAAGTTCAAATATTTATTTGTTCATAAAAATAGTTTAGGGAATCACTCAAAATATAAAAGTTTGTTGGGTTTTTAAACTTTTCCTTAATCTTAATTAATAAGTAAGAAAAATTAATTAACTAATTAATAAAGTTGGTAAGGTTTAACCACAAGGGTGGTGCCTGATTGGTTTGATTTTGGTTCCAAATGTTAAAAGTACCAGAAAGTCTTAGGTTTAAATCCAAGAAGGAACAAAAATCCCCTTGTGGCCATGGAGGTTCAAATGCAGTGACTCTGGGCTATCTGCAAAGCAGGTGGTTGCCTTAAGATTAGTCGGTTCGCATAGCGGGTTGGATATCCAGGTTAATAAAAAAAAAGTTGGTAAGGTTTGACAACATACATATTGTGATATAAGATTTCTTTTATGTATCAACCAAGTTTACATACTTAGTATAGTAACGACTTAAGTTGGTACCAATTTTGAAATGAATTCATCATTATCCAAAACGAGTTGTCACAAATAATGTTGTCGTGTCTTTCAAAGATGTTTGAAAACACAATTCACAGAGTTAGAAGTTATTTATTTATGTATCTCTTAATTTTAAATGTATCCATATAGATTTTTAGCATTTAGTTTTCGCAGTTAAAAAAGAAATTTCTATTAAATGAATATATATATATATATATATATATATATATATATATATATATA